ATAGCCATGAATACCTAAATTTTCTGAGCTCCGCGCGGATTTCTTCGATCGGCACTGGGGCCCCTTGGCGGCGCCTCCGGCGCCGCCCCTGGCTCGTTCCGCGCGCCAGTGAGGGGTGTTCGGCGCGAATCCGAGAAGTCCGCGCGGAGCTCCGAGCGTTCATGTTCGTGCAGTTTTTTGTTGTTCTGCACAGGAGAGCTCCCTTCCCCGCAGCACGTTGGCCTCTTCCAGGAGCTTTGGCTCCCAGAGTCTCTCGCCCCCCTGCACCGATACACGGTCCAGGCTTCCTGGACCCGTGCTTTGATCTCACGCTCTTGCCAAGAGAGGTGCTATGCCTCGGACAGTATGGAGACGGCAAGCACTACAACACCGCCGTCAACTGGGTAAGCGGAAGCACCTGGCACACCTTTGCGCACGAGATGGGGCACAATTTCAACGCCGACCACTCCTTCGAGCTCGGCCAAGGCAGCACGGGTGGCATCATGGACTACGGCGACGGGACGCTCAACGGGATATTCCAGTTCAACGAGCAGTACCGCAAGATCGAGGTGTGCAACCACATACAGGCCAAAGTCGACACGTGCACGGCCTTCTCTGTTTTCAGCCCTGAGTGCGGCAACGGCATCGTCGAGCCGGGCGAGGATAGGTCAACAAAGTTGCATAAGCGTGAACTTCTGGCCCTCCCTCGCGCGCGCCGCGCGCCAGGGGCGGCGCTGTAGGCGCCGCCTGGGGGGGGGGCCAGCGCCGATCCGAGAGATCTGCGCGGAGCTCCGGAAGTTTATGCCCGTGCAGCGTTTCCCGCTCCGCTGGAGCTCGAGGAGTGCGAGTGCAGCGACGGGCTGGCAGCGTGCGACGGCTGCTGCAGCTGCCAGCTGCGGCTGGAGGGGCGGCAGTGCGCCCCAGGCGCCTACGGGCACGGCGGCTGCTGCACCTCCGAGGGGTACTTCGCGGACGTGGGAGCGCGCTGCACGATGGCCGGCTCGGATGGTCCCGGGAAGCCCAAAGAGTCCACGAGCTGCCACTGAGCACCCACAATTACAGCGAGCGGCTTGAATAAGGAGCACTTGCTTTTCAAAAGGGGCTCGGTCGTTCTTTGGGTTTGCATGCGTGGTGTATCGTTCCTTATGCGTTATGTATTATTCATCGTTCCTTATGCGTTACTCCTTGGGAACAGGGGGCTTCGTTCCTTATTTATCGTTCCTAAGGTCAGGCCGATGACGGTATAGTTCCCTGTGCGACCCCTCCACTTCTCGGGGTGGAGCTCCGCGAGGGCCACTTGGCGTGTGTTGAACCAGATGGGGGGGTCCGCGCTCGGACGGGAGCCCCCCTCTCGGGGTCCGACAATCTGCACCCCATACTTCTAGCGCCCTTATTTCCAGCAGTCGCGAAGCGTCCTGGCGTGCCTATAGGCCAGCCGAAGAATGTTCTAAGAACCTTTCGTGGTCTGCACGACATGTTCTTAGAACATTTCTGGACGATACTGTTTTGTTTGAACACGTTGGGTTCATGTTCTAAGAACATTGTTTTTGTTTTTCGAACACTTCTGGGTTCTAAGAACATGTCGTGGTAGGCCTATAGGAATGCCGGGACGGTCGGTCCCTGCTCAACTCTTGCCTTGCTCCTCCCCATTCCAGAAGAAGAGAAGTGCAGGGATCGTTGAAACCCTGCCTCGATCACGCGCAGTGGGGGGTGGTGGAGGGAGGGGGGAGGGCTTCTCAGAAGCACCCTTGCTTCTGTTAGAAGGCGCGGGCCTCATCTGTAGATGTAGGGTGGGTGCCTTTGAAGAAGCAGCCCTTCCCCCATCCCTCCCCCTTGTGCGCGCCGCCAACTGCCACCTCCGCCCCCCATCCCCTTCCCGCATGGGCGGCGAATCTGCCCTGCTCGAGGGAGGAGCCACGCGGACCATGGCCAAGAGGTCGCGAGATCTCGTCGACGTCGATCTTGGCCATGGGCCTATGCCAGCCGTCGCCGATTCGCATCCAGTACAGGAGGATTGTTGATAGTCATTTGCATGTGTAGCTATTCGCCTGTCGCACAGCGTTGCAGTTAGAGCCCGTTTCTTTATTGCTTGGGGCATGACGGGCGTCATGGCCCCCGCCCCCCCCCCCCCTATGACGTAACGCTCCCCCCCCCAGTGCGCTCTGGGCACTGCCGCCGTGCGCATTGGGATCCGCGTAGGTGTCCGCGTAGGAATCCGCACAGGTGTCTGGTCCGCAGGAGTCGTCGTCGTCGTCGTCGTCGTCGTCGTCGTCGTCGTCGTCGTCGTCGTCGTGGTCCGTCGCTCGTCGCTCATCGTCGTCGTGCGCGCGGACGCGGCTGGAGCCTGTTTTTTAGTCCGGGCCGATGACGGCAATCATCTGGGGGGGAGGGGGTCGATGACGTCACGTTTCGCGCCGGCGGCGTCTGGGAATGCTTAGGAATGACGGAGGACGGGAGCACGAACATGTAGGTGGCGATATGCACCACAACGCCTGTGTACATCACAGTGCCCGCGTGCACCGCAGCGCCTGTGTACACCACGCCGCCGATGTACACCACAGCAGCCGCGTGCAACACAGCGTCAGTTTGTGCCACCGTGCCTGCGGGCACAGCAGCTCCTGCGTACACCACAGCGCCTCCGTACCCCACATCAGCCGTGCGCAACACAACACCAGTGTACACCACAATGCCTGCGTGCATTGCAGTGCCTGTGTACGCCACGGCGCCTGTGTGCACCACATCAACCGTGTGCAACACAGCACCATTGTTGTGTATAGAATTTCAGAAGGGATCCTTGTGACAAAATGGAGCGCGTGTGGATTCCAGAGAAAACAATGGAAAACAAATCCTCATGGACAAAGGAGCGCCGCTGGAAGCTACGAGTCCCCCCGAGTCCGCCCGCATCACCCTAACTCCCATTTGCGTCCAGGAGGCTCCAGCTAAACTGGCCGTCCGAGAACCAAGTGGACCGATTCAATCGACCATTCTGCGGTGCACGCTGAGATGCGCACGTGCGTTGTCACGCCAAGCCGCACGACAGGGGGTAAGAAGGAGGAAAACGAGGAGGAGGAGGAGGAGGAGGAGGAGGTGGAGGTGGAGGATGAGGGAGGAAGTAAAAATGTCGTATTCGATTATCAGAACTTTCCTGGCGTGGTGTTTAGTTGTCCGCAGCAGATCTTGACGTACATGTTCCTTCTACCTGTCCTGTGCACGCAGGCATTGTGGTGTACACCAGCGCTGCGTTGCACGCGGATGCTGTGGTGTAGACAGGCGCTGTGGCGTGCACAGGCGCTGCGGTGCACGCAAGCACTGTGGTGTACACAGGCGTCGTGTTGCACATGGCTGCTGCGGTGTATGTACACCGGCGCTGTAGTGTTCCCAAGTATTGTGGTATACACGGGTGGTGCATTGCACACGGCTGTTGCGGTGTACGCAGGCGCTGTGGTGCACACGCGCGGTGTGGTGCACGCGAGCGTTGTGGTGCACACAGGCGCAATGGGCAGATCGCCACTTACATGCTGCTCACGTCGTCGTCGTCGCTCGTCGCTCGTCGCTCGTCGCGTCGTGCGCGCGGGCGCGGCTGTGGTGCCGGAGCCACTCGGCGGGGGGGGGCGTCACGTCATACCCCCCCCCGCCCTCCCCCCCCCCATGACGCCCGTCATCGCCGAACATAAAGAAACGCGCTCTTAGTAGTGTATAGTAGTGTGTCACGTGTACACTCCTGGACTTCATGCCTTAGCCATTTCAGTCAAGAGCTGTCCTGAGGAGGCCCCGGAGGCCGAAAGCTAGACAGAGCCACTGAAAGAAGGCACGGGCTTGAGAGCGCCATACGAGTCAGGTAAGTCGACGATTATCGAAGACGCCTACGGCGAATCACCGCCGCCCCCTGCCCTTGTGGAAGCGCCTATGTGGCCAACAGTTGGGCTACTTCTTGGCCACGCTATCGGGCCAGTGGTTCCCCGAGTCGGTTTGGAAAGCCTTCGGGGAACGCGTGGGGGAGCAAGAGGTCTGGAATCGCCCATGTGTCCGAGCGATGTGGCAAGAGCTCTGCCAAGCTATCGGACCATGTGTTTCCCCAACCGTTGTGGAAACCCTTCGGGGAATACTTGGGGGAGGATGGCGGGGAAGATCAGGAGGGGGAGGGGGAGGAGGAGGAGGAGGAGGAGGAGGAGGAGGAGAGGAGGAGCAGGAGGAGGTGGAGGAGGTGGAGGAGGTGGAGGTGGAGGTGGAGGTGGAGGTGGTGGAGGAGGAGGAGGAGGAGGAGGAGGAGGAGGAGAGGAGGAGGAGGAGGAGGAGGAGGAGGAGGAGGAGGAGGAGGAGGAGAAGAGGAGAAGAGGAGAAGAGGAGGAGGAGGAGGGGGTATCTTGGGAGCCTCTGGGGGCACTCATTGGGGCCTCCTGGGAGCTTCCTGGGAGCCTCTTCAAGTCATCCTGGTGGCCTCCTTGGGCCTCTTGGGGGCATTTGGGGGCTTCTCGGGGGCCTCTTTGGCCGTCTCCGGGCATTCCTGGCCCGTCCAATGCCGTCGGAAGCCGTCTTGGGGACCTGTCTGGGCCGACTTGAAACCCATCGTGGGGTGCGCCAGGGCCGTCTTGGAGGCCATCTTGGGCGTCTTGGAGGCCTCTTGGGCCGTCTGGTGGCCCTCTTGAGGCCGCCTTGGGGGCCTCTTGGGCCCTTCTGGGGCCGCCCTGGAAGCCTCTTGGGCGATCTCTCGGGGCTCTTGAGCCGTCCCGGGCCGTCGGAAGGCCGAAAAGAAGCAAATGCCAGCATCCTTGAAACACCAACGGAAACTCAATGAGTTTTGCTTCTTCGAGCCTTCCTGGAGGCCCTCTTGGAGGCCTCTTGGGCCGTCTTGGAGGCCTCGTGGGGGCCTCCTGGGCCGTCTTGGGCCATCTTATAGCCATCTTGGGCCGTCTTGGTGGGCTCCTGGCCCGTCTGACGCCGTTGGAAGCTGTCTTGGGTGCCTCTCTGGGCCGACTTGGGGCCCTCTTGGGGTGCTCCAGGGCCGTCTTGGAGGCCATCTTGGGCGTCTTGGAGACCTCTTGGGCCGTCTGGTAGCCCTCCTGAGGCGGTCTTGGGGGTCTCTTGGGCTGTTCTGGGGCCGTCTTGGACGATCTTGGGGTGCTCTTGGGCCGTCGGAAGGCCGTCGGAAGGCCGAAAAGAAGCAAATGCCCAAATCCTCCTAAACCGAAAGAAATTCATGATTTTTGCCTCTCTGGGCCTTCCTGGAGGCCCTCTTGGAGGCCTCTTGGGCCGCCTTGGAGGCATCTTGGGAGCCTCTAGGGCCGTCTTAGCCGTCTTGGAGGGCATCTTGGGCCGTCTTGAAGGTATCTTGCAGGCCATTTTGGGCCATCGTGGCCGTCTTGGGGGATTTTTTGTCGGCAAATCCCGCGCCTTCTGGGTGGTCGGCGAGACGGGCCGAAGCCCCAGGGGAGAGTTCTTTTGGAAAAAGAACCCAAACCAAGAGCGATAGGATCCAGCACGCCGGGCACCCCTGTGGCAAGCCAACAGGGGGCAGCGGATCGAATGGCCTTCGGCCCACCGCGCCACCGTACCTGGGTTGTGGGTCATAGGCCTCCAGGATGTTCTTTGGGAATCGTGGGGGGCCTCTCGGGGGCCTCTTGGGACCGTTTGGAGGCCTCTCGAGAGCCGTTTTGGGGCCTCTGGGGGCGTCTTGAGGGTCTCTTGGAGGTATCTTCTCGGGCCTCTTGGGGGCCTCTTGCCGCCTCGTTGGGGCCTCCTGGGGGCCTCTTGGGGCGGAAGGCTCGGAGTCTCCATTCGTGTTCCCCTTCTTGGGCCCTCCTTGGGGCTGTCTTTGGGCTCTCTTGGGCCGTCCTTGGCGCCTCTGGGGCCGTCTTGGAGCCCTCTCGCGCTCGTTGGCCGTCTTGGTGCGGTCTCTCGGGCCTCTTGAGCCTCCTGGGCCATCATGGAGCGCTGGAAGCAAGTCGAGAGTTCCCCAAGCACTGAACAAAAACATACGGACAAAATGATTTTGGCCTCTCGGAGCCCTCTTGGGACGGCTCTTGGAGGCCTCTTGGGACGTGTTTGGTGTTTTTTCAGTCGACTGGAGGCCATCTTGGGCTTCTTGGACCGATCGTGCGTCGATTCGGAGCCTTCTTGGACCGTCTCGGGGTCCTCTTGGGCTAGCTGCGCTACCCCGGGAAATCCCCGGCAATTCGCGGGAATCCCCAGCGCTCCCCGGGAATCCTTGTGAAACCAGTGGTCTGGGCCCTTAAAAAATATTGCAATTGCTTATTTCTCAGGGCTGCACAAGCCTTGGAGCACTCCACTACGTGCTGAAGGCACGGTGGCGGACTAAGATGAGTTATGATCCAGGTAGACACCGACGTTTCTGCGTTCATCAGTCATGGTCCTGGTCATCTTTTTCTTTTCATGCGGTTTGGGCTGCCGTTGAGGCTTCTGCGTCGAGGGGGAGTGCGTCTTAGAGAGCGTCTGCACGGTGTACCCTATCCACTTCGGCGAGTTCTGCGGGATCGAGGGGCAGGGCTGCCAGGTCATGTGCACGATGGCCAGCAACGGTGTCTGCAGCAGCCTCAGCGGCTGGAAGGACTCCAACGGCAACAAGATCAACAACCTTCCCGACAGCACCCCGTGCACGACGGAGAGCAGTCGGGCGGGCACGTGTTACGACGGCACTCGAAGAAAAAGACAAATCATAATAATAATAAGAATAAGAATAAGAAGAAGAAGCACATTAAGAACAACAAGAAAATAACACATCATGTATCGTTCGGAAATGCTTCAAAACAGAGGAACAAAACCACATGGGCCAGGTTACTATAACCCAACTCATACACTGGAACATGGCTGGACAGGCAACGCAACCGGCCGCGCGCCTGCGAATAGGCCATAGCTTTAAACCGCGAGGCGCAAATTTTAGTCCATCATTTTTCCAGACGTAACTTTTTTCATTTGGCGCCTCTGCCAGGTCTCCCCGTGTGACGGATCTCTTGGATCTGCATTGGGCCCCATGGCGCCTCCGGCGCCGCCCCCCAGCGCGCTCCGCGCGACAGGGAGGGGGGCCCAGCGCCGATCCAAGAACTCTGCGCGGACCTCCGGAAGCTTGTCTGTATTTGTTTGCTTTTCCAGGCACGTGCGTGGATAACGACGTTGTCACCATCGCACTCCCAGAAGGGACCGACGTCATCAAAGAGGAGAACGTACCGTACTCCACCTCCGTGTCCGTTTCTGGGTGTGTCGGCTATGCCAACCGTGGCTGGATAGGACATGCTGACGTGGCGTTCTGGAAGGAGGGGAAATCACTAGACAATTGCAACATGCAGTGTTTGAACGCGGAGTCGTGTCACAGTTTCACATTCAACGCCGTCACGGGTTTCTGCGAGCTGTGGACCATGCACCATTTCGTGGACGATTTGGCCGTGGTGCCAGGCTACGACACCTTCATCTGCCACGCCCGGGCCGTAGGCGCCGACTTCCTCGACGCCGACGTCTACCACGGCGCCGACCTGCTTGAGCCGGGCGTGGCGGCACGCGAGCGCAGCGTGGACAGCGGGCTCACCCTCACGCTCTGCTACAAGGCATGCATTACGGACCCTGGGTGCCACGTGTTCGTCTTCGCCGAGGTCACCGGCAGCTGCCGGCTCTATCCGTCGGAGGTGTCGTACAGCTTGTGGGACATGAAGCAGGGGTGCTCATGGGAGGTGGCGAGGTCACAGACTCCCATTGGCGTCACCCCGACATACTAATGCTATATGTGCCTCGCCCCCCCCAGGGGCGCCGCGCGCACCGAGAAACCTTACAGTAGATGCGTCGTGGCGGGCGCTTTCTGGCCACACCGCTCGGGAAACGATACCCATACTACAAGATGAGTGTACTATATGTTCAGGTCGGACGCGCGCTTCCAAGGAGGACATACAGTACTCGTATGTCTCCGTGCGTTCCATTCCGAGCTGCAACTGTTGTTGCGGCTCCCTGCTCTGCCACCGTAGATGGACAAACAAGTGGAACCCTTGACACCACGCTCCCCCCCCATTTCAAAGTTGGCCCCAAGCACTCGGCAGCACAGGCGTGAGAGGACAATCAGCCTGGCGAGAGACCCAACCATAAGCAGTGGTACGAGCCGCAGTTGTGAGCACCATTTTCGGCGGATCCTCCTATGCGGCCACGAAGCGTTTGAGGGGTGTGCCAAAGTGACCCGTCGGCGGCAGGCGGTCTTTTCCACTGGGGCCTTCGGTGGAGCTCTCTATGGAGTCACGAAGCGTGCGAGGTGTGCCCGAGAACCGTCACTGGCATGCGGACCCTGCCGCTGCGGCCTTCGGTGGTGCCGCCTCAGGCCACGAAACGTGCGAGGGGTGCGCCAAAATGTGTGATGGAGCCGCATACGGGCGTTGCCACTGGGGCCTCAGGTGGAGCACCCCGTGGGGCCCCAGAACGCGTGAGGGGTTCGCCGAAATGGGGGGGTGGAACCGCATGCGAACGCAGCCATTCAGGCCTTCGGTGGAGCTCCCTATGGGGCCACGAAACGTGTGAAGGGGGTGCCGAAATGGCTAGGTGGCGGCATGCGGGCCCTGGCACTGGAGCCTTCGGTTGAGCTCCCTATGGGGGTACGAAACGTGCGAGGGGTTGTGCCGAAATGGCGAGGTGGCGGCATGCGGGCCTTGCCATTGGGGCCTTCGGTGGACCTCCCTATGGGGCTACGAAACGTGCGAGGGGTGTGCCGAAATGGCGAGGTGGCGGCATGCGGGCCCTTCCATTGGGGCCTTCGGTGGACCTCCCAATGTGGCCACGAAACGTGTGACGGGTGTGCCGAAACAGAAACATGCGGAGGGCAGAGGCAAGGAGGGGGAGGAGAGAGGAGGGGAAGGAGGAGGAGAGGAGAGGAGAGGCGCGGGGCGCTGTCTCTTCAAAGCGAGGACCCAACACCACAGGATGGTTGGGAAAAAAGTGGGCCCCCCCCAGTGCCTCTGGGAGGCCGAAGCCAACTTCGAAATCGGGGAGGGGGGGGGGGGGGGGGCGAACGCGGGGTCGAAGACGAATGGCGTTGCACATTTTTGTCCCGCAGCAGGCACACGCCCCGCAGCACGTGCGCGCGTGCTCCACACGCAACAAACAAAACAGTACGCGCAGAGGTCAACAGCCTCGCCCGCCCGGGCCCTGGAGAGATATGCCCTGGAGGAGGCTCCGCATGGGTGGCTCGCTCGCGCGCTCCCTGCGTTGCCAGATCTGGGGGGGGGGGGTTCTCCGAAGGGCTTAGACGACCCGTCCTCCTCCTCCTCCTCCTCCTCCTCTCCTCCCTCCTCCTCCTCCCTCCTCCTCCTCCTCCTCCTCCTCCTCCTCCTCCTCCTCCTCCTCCGCCTCCTCCTCCTCCTCCTCCTCCTCTCGGATCGCCTACGGCCCCGGGGAATCGTGCAGCCAGATCCTCGAGCGCTGGTGGAAAGAAACAAGTTTGCACCACCTGGGCTGCACGACAACTGATGATACGACCCCCCCGCCCCCGACCTTAACATTGAGAGCGGACGCGCACGCTGAAATGGAATATATATATATATATATATATATATATATATATACATATATATATATTGTTCGAAGGGCCCTGGAAGATGCCACAACTATCGATATTGAAGTCGGGGGCGCGGGGGAGCAGCAGTGCCATCCGATTCGCAGCTCAAGCCGAAGTGGTGCAAACATTTTTCTTTCAACTGGATTACGGCACGTGCGCGGCTCGAAGAATAAATAATGGCATAAACATAAACTTTGCGCGCTCCGCGCGGATTTCTTGGATTCGCGCTGGCCCCCGCTGGCGGCGCCTCTGGCGCCGCCCCTGGTGCGCTCCGCGCGACAGGGAGGGGAGTCCGGCGCGGAGTTCCTGTGCGGAGCGCCAGAAGTTCATGCATGCTTATGGCGTGTCTTCTTCTTCTTCTTCTTCTTCTTCTTCGTCTTCTTCTTTTTCTTCTTCTTCTTCTTCTTCTTCTTCTTCTTCCTCCAAGTACGCATGGTGCGCACCCCTCCTGCAGGTACAGTACCTACATCCTGCCCTGCCACGGCCGCGGGCAGGTCTGCCCCTGCAGCCCGAGCGGGACCTCGAAGATCCGCATGCCCTGCCAGTGCGACGCGGCCAGCAGCCCCCACCACAACGAGTGCGCCGTCGGCCAGTACTGCTACGATGGAGAGCCGAGCGGGGCAGGAGAGGGCAGGAGGCAGGAGAGGGTGCGACTTGGAGCCGCCTGGGGGTCCGAGCTGGCCCAGCACTGGCTGCGGCCAGCATGAAGGCCGGGCAGGTTGGAGGTCCTGGGTTCGGGCAGGCTTTTTGCTTCTGTCGGCCACCAGGGGCCCTGATCGGCCCCCGGGACCGTGAGAAACAAATCCGCGGTGAAAGACGTCACCAGGTGGACCCCAAAGGGGCCTGGGGACCGATTTTGAGCGGATTTGGCCTCTGACCGCTGTTCTGGGGTTCCACTCAGTCACGAGCAGGGCTCGACCTGAACGGTGTTTGGGCGATTTCGTGGGCCGGTTTCGTTTTGACTTCGTTCTGCAGCAAAGGGGGAGCGAAGACAGAACGAAGGAAAACGAAAACAGCACGAGAACGAAAAACATTGTTTTGGTCGAGCCCTGGTCACAAGTCGTGATGTCTCGCGTTGCTTCAAGTGTCTTGCAACGTCGGATCTCAGGTGAAGGAGGCTATTTTTGGCTTGCGACGCAGATGAAGCTTGGAGCATCTGTCCGCTTGCGGGAGCACTCAACTCGGCCGAATGTTAGGACGCAGGCACGATTCAACCACGGTTGCCAGAAATGCCGAACATCACTGCTGGGTCTGACGAAGGCGAGCGCACGACCCAGCGGAGGACAGTGCCAATGCGAGCACAAAGGCAAAAGTAATAGTCCGAAGTCTGGCCAGGAGGGCCGGAATCAATCGTTGCTGACTCTTCCCATGCATTGCTGATTATCCGCGCCTCCCTCGCCCATGGAGGGAGCTTCGGACAGACCACTCATTCCACTTTCGGAGGCCGCGATGCGCTCAGCTAAATATGCGTCTGAATCAAGCGTACTGCTTGTGGGTGGCGGGGGAGCGGACAGAGGCCCCCGCCGTACCCACCACCTCACGTGCCGAGCAAGCATGCCATCATTCACAACAGAGTCGCAGCAATCAGCCGATATCACAGGCTCGCGGCGAGCTAAAGAAGTTGAACTTTCTGGTATTCGTTGCACACGGACCCATGTACACTGCAAGTTTAGCATGCGAAAAAAACGGCTGGAGGCCAACGCAATCACGAGCGAACAGCTAGCTACATTGCAGAGCCCTCGGCGGGGCCGGCATCCTCTGCGGCAGCCCTTTGCTTCTGGCTTCGGCAAGCTGGCACCAGATGGACGAGGAGGCTGCCGCAGGCGATGCAGCACTCGCAGACTTGCTGATCGCCTCCAGCATGGGCACCCCGGGGGCTCAGCAACAGCTGGCAGCTGTGCGGCAGAGAGCTGGAGCGGGGTGGAGCCCGTAAGCGTCCTCGGCTCCTCCTCCGGGCCCCGACAGGGGGGCGCCGGGGAGGAAGGGCTTGCCCCGCCTCCGCGGTAGCAGCAGGTAGACGTGCGGGGCCAGCATGAGGTAGAGCACGCTCCTGGGCGCCAGCGGCAGCAGCGACAAGCTCAGGAGCTTCGGTTGTGGATGCCATGACAATTGACACTCTAACAGTCCTATCATTGAATTAAGCAGGTGTTTGACATGTTTGAAACATGTTCTTAAAAACGTTTAACACTTTTTTCGCATGGTTCAGACGTGTTTGAAACATGCTTGAAGCATCTGGCAGAATCTGGAAAATCTTTGGCGACACGCTTCCTCTCCATTGATCGTCGTCCACTGAGCTTCGGCGTGTTCACACTGAGCAGGAACAGCACCAGGAGCGCCCACGGCACCGGAGCCGCGCCCACGGCAGCAGCAGCGCCAGCAGCGGCGGCCCCGCCGAGCTTGGCCGGCCCTCGCTGTAGCTGGCCCCGTCCTTTTGCTGTGGTGGGCCCGTGGCCGGGCTCTGCCCGCAGTGGTGCCGGCCACGAGGCAGCCGCCTCGGACCAGGCGGCGAGCGGCAGCGGCGCTGGGAGCAGTGGCCTCCTCGCCTCCTCCTCCTTCTCCTCCTCCTCCTCGTCCTCCTCCCCCTCCCCCTCCCCCTCCTCCCCCCTCCTCCCCCTCCTCCTCCTCCTCTCCTCCTCCTCCTCCTCCTCCCCTCCTCCTCCTCCTCTCCTCCTCCTCCTCCTCTTCTCCTCCTCCTCCTCCTCCCCCTCCTCCTCCTCCTCCTCCTCCTCCTCCTCCTCCCCTCCTCCTCCTCCTCCTCCTCCTCCTCCTCCTCCTCCTCCTCCTCCTCCTCCTCCTCCCCCTCCTCCTCCTCCTCCTCCTCCTCCTCCTCCATGATCAGCACCAGGAGCGCCACGATCCGGCGTCGCAGTCGCGACGACGGCAGCAGCATAGTACCGTACGGTCGCCGCGATCGCCACGTCCATCATGGTTCGGAAATCTGATCATGCACATTATCATAAGGGTTTTTTTTCTCAATCCCAGGACTTTGGGAGGGTCGGGGACGACGTTGGAGTGGTGTTGTGTATACTGTATACTTGTTCCCCCGTTTTCCAAGGGAAGCAAGGAGAAATGGATACACCAGCGCCCCGCATACACCAGGATCCGATGTCCTATGCGAGTTTCCGTGCGGGGCCGGCAGAAGCGTCGGTGTATAGAGTTCGGCTCCTTACAGTGGGGGCCCATGCCGAGAAACACCCTGCTTGCCTCCAGGGTGCCCTGGGTTTCTTGGACTTCGATGGTTTTGCTGTGGAAGGCGTGACGCTCCCACGCCAAAAGTCGATGGACGTCCTGGGGTCTCAGGGGTGGGTTCGTGGACGGTTTCTTGTGTCAAGGGGGGGAAAACCACCCGGATCCGACGGTTGGCGTTTACTAGACGGACCTGGGCGTTTGCTAAACAGCCCTGCCCTGTTCGATTCCTTCTGTGGGTGCGTTTGCCAAACGGCCTCGCGCGTTGGGGTGATCTTCAGGGGGATGGATTTTCTGCCCTCTACTGTGGTCAGGCCCCTGTTGTGTTCCCTGGAATGTCGGCGGGACGGCTCCCCGCGGCGGTCCACCGTCCTCTCCGAGCAGCATCCTCAGCGCCGGCCCGTCGGCACCTGCGAGGGACCCGCAGCGCGAAGCCCCGAGGCGCACGAGGATGGGCCTGCGGTGGGGGGAAGCCTGCCGGGTCGGGGCGGGCCGCCGCAGGCCCAAGCACTTCGATGGGGACGATCGAAGTGGGTGCGGAAGGGCTCAGGGGCAACGATAGGGGGGGATGGGCATAGGGGGGGGATGCATCGCCCCCCAATCGCCCATTGATCGCCGATAGGGGTCTGATAGGCCCAGCCCGCCCAGGAAGGTGCGGATTCACTGTCGTGGGCCTATCGCCGATCTATCGGCGATGTATCGCCGATTCCAGGTCGATGCATCCCCCCCTATGCCAGTCTCCCCTATCGCTGCACTCCAAAGAATAGGTACAAAGACCGACAGCAGTTCCTGTTCATGTTGGACAGGACTCGCTGTCCGCGGCGCCGCGGACGTTGTTCACTGAAAACCAAAAAGCCGCCTGCCCAACAGCGGCCGCTGTCGGTTTTGGACAACATCTGTTATTGGGCATTATACCCACTATTTCCGTATCCATTTCGGTCGTCCAACAGCGAGAATACAAGAACCACCCTTTTTCTTCGAAGAAGAAACAAGCATAAACACAAACTGTTGGCGCTCCGCGCGGACTTCTTGGATCCGCGCTGAGTCCTCCCCCGGCGCTTCCGGCGCCGCCCCTGGCGCGCTCCGCGCGCCAGGGAGGGGGGTCCATCACCAAAAGTTCATGTTTATGATTTCTGTTGCTTTCTTACTACTACTACTACTACTACTACTACTACTACTACTACTACTACTACTACTACTACTACTACTACTACTACTACTACTACTACTACTACTCCCACTACTACTACTACTACTACTACTACTACTACTACGACTACTACTACTACTACTACTACTACTACAACTACTAACACTACTACGACTACTACCACCACTGCTACGACTCCTATTACTACTCCTGTTCCCACTCTCACTATTACTACTACCACCACTAGTACTACGACTACTGCTACTACTACTACTACTACTACTACTACTACAGCGACTACTACTACGACTGCTACGACTAGGAGATTTACTACTACTACTACTACTTTTACTACTATTACTACTACTACGACTACTACTACTACTACTACGACTACTACTACTACTACTACTACGTTTACTACTACTACTACTACTACTACTACTACGACTACCACTACTACTACTACCACTACTACTACTACTACTACTACTACTACTACTACTACTACTACTAACACTACTACGACTACTACTACCGTTACCACTACTACTACGACTACGACTACGACTACGACTATTATTACGACTACTACTACCACCACTACTACTACTATTACTACTACTACTACTACTACTATTACTACTACTATTACTACTACTAGTACCACTACTACTACTACTACAACAACTACTACTACAACTACTACTACTACTACTACAGCTACTCACTACGACTACTACTACTTACTACTACTACACCACCACTTACCACTCAACACTATTACTACTATACACTACTTACTACTACGACGACTACTACCCACATATTACTACTACTACTACTACTACTACTACTACTACTACTACTACTACTACTACTACTACGACCTCTACTACTACTACTACTACTACCACTACGACCACTACTACCATTACTACTACTACTATGACCACTACTACTACGTCTACCTCCACTACCACTACCATTACTACTACTACTACTACTACTACTACTTCTACTACTACTACTACTACTACTACTACTACTTCTACTACTACTACTACTACTACTACTACTACTACTACTAGATGTACTACTACTACAACGACGACTACTACAACTACCACTACCACTACTACCACTACTACTACTACTACTACTACTACTACTACTAATACTACTACTACTACTACTACTACTAGTACCACTACTACTAACTAAGTAATACTTACTTCTACTACTACGACACTACCACATTACTACCTACTACA